TTTTGAGGGGAATTGGCCTGGGCATTTTGGAGTTGTAGGTCCTGGGATGCATAGTTCACCTCTGTTTTGGAGTTGTAGTTCACCTACATCCAGAGTGTACTATGAACCCAAACAATGGTGGATCTGGACCAAACTTGGCATGCATACCCGGTATACCCAAATTTGAATACTGGTGGGTTTTGAGGGGAATTGGCCTGGGCATTTTGGAGTTGTAGGTCCTGGGATGCGTGGGTGTTTGCCTTGTGTTTTGGAGTTGTAGTTCAACTACAACCAGAGTGTACTATGAACCCAAACAATGGTGGATCTGGACCAAACTTGGCATGCATACCCGGTATGCCCAAATTTGAATACTGGTGGGTTTTGAGGGGAATTGGCCTGGGCATTTTGGAGTTGTAGGTCCTGGGATGCGTGGGTGTTTGCCTTGTGTTTTGGAGTTGTAGTTCAACTACAACCAGAGTGTACTATGAACCCAAACAATGGTGGATCTGGACCAAACTTGGCATGCATACCCGGTATGCCCAAATTTGAATACTGGTGGGTTTTGAGGGGAATTGGCCTGGGCATTTTGGAGTTGTAGGTCCTGGGATGCGTGGGTGTTTGCCTTGTGTTTTGGAGTTGTAGTTCAACTACAACCAGAGTGTACTATGAACCCAAATAATGGTGGATCTGGACCAAACTTGGCATGCCTACCTTGTATGTCCAAATTTGAATACTGGTGGGTTTTGTGGGTGTTGGCCTTGTGTTTTGGAGTTGTAGTTCACCTACATCCAGAGTGTACTATGAACCCAAACAATGGTGGATCTGGACCAAACTTGGCATGCATACCCGGTATGCCCAAATTTGAATACTGGTGGGTTTTGAGGGGAATTGGCCTGGACATTTTGGAGTTGTAGGTCCTGGGATGCATAGTTCACCTGCAATCAAAGAGCAATCTGAACTCCACCAAAGATGGAATTGGACCAAACCTGGCACACAGAACTCCCAAGACCAACAGAAAATACTGGAAGGGTTTTGTGAGTGTTGGTCTTGTGTTTTGGAGTTGTAGTTCAACTACAACCAGAGTGTACTATGAACCCAAATAATGGTGGATCTGGACCAAACTTGGCATGCCTACCTTGTATGTCCAAATTTGAATACTGGTGGGTTTTGTGGGTGTTGGCCTTGTGTTTTGGAGTTGTAGTTCACCTACATCCAGAGTGTACTATGAACCCAAACAATGGTGGATCTGGACCAAACTTGGCATGCATACCCGGTATGCCCAAATTTGAATACTGGTGGGTTTTGAGGGGAATTGGCCTGGACATTTTGGAGTTGTAGGTCCTGGGATGCATAGTTCACCTGCCCATCAATGAGCATTCTGAACTCCACCAATGATGGAATCGAACCAAACTTGGCACACAGAATCCCCATGACCAACAAAAAATACCGGAAGGGTTTGGTGGGTGTTGGCCTTGTGTTTGGGAGTTGTAGTTCACCTACAACCAGAGTGTACTATGAACCCAAACAATTGTGGATCTGGACCAAACTTGGCATGCATACCCAATTGCCCGAATTTGAATACTGGTGGGTTTTGAGGGGAATTGGCCTGACATTTTGGAGTTGTAGGTCCTGGGATATAGTTCACCTGCAATCAAAGCCATTCTGAACTCCACCAAAGATGGAATTGGACCAAACCTGGCACACAGAACTCCCAAGACCAACAGAAAATACTGGAAGGGTTTTGTGAGTGTTGGTCTTGTGTTTTGGAGTTGTAGTTCAACTACATCCAGAGTGTACTATGAATCCAAACAATGGTGGATATGGACCAAACTTGGCACGCATACCCAGTATGCCCGAATTTGAATACTGGTGGGTTTTGAGGGGAATTGGCCTGGGCATTTTGGAGTTGTAGGTCCTGGGATGCATAGTTCACCTCTAATCAATGAGCATTCTGGGCTCCACCAATGATGGAATCGAACCAAACTTGGCACACAGAACTTCCACAACAAACAGGAAATACCGGAAGGGTTTGGTGGGTGTTGGCCTTGTGTTTGGGAGTTGTAGTTCACCTACAATTCCATCCTAGATTTTCTGTTTTTCCTACAACACAGGCATCCTAGTGTTTCTGACTCTCTCCATAGGTGTGGAATTTGCATGATTCTGTCCACTGCTTTGCCCATAACCCTTTCCTATTCTTTTCTATGGCACACAGTAAACAAAGGAATTGATCAGCAACAACATACTAGAGAGGTTTGGGGAGAATTCACCATGATTTATAGGAGTTGTAGGTACTGGGATGTATAGTTTACCTGCAATCTAAGAGCACTCTGAACTCCACCAAGGATGAACTTGGAACTAACTTGGCACTCAGAACCCCCATGACCAACAAAAAATATTGGAGGTCTTTGGAGGGATTTCTAGGAGTTGTAGTTCACCTACATCCAGAGCGCATTATGAACCCAACCAATGATGGATCTGGACCAAACTTGGCATGCATACCTGGCATGCCCAAATTTGAATACTGGTGGGTTTTGAGGGGAATTGGCCTGGACATTTTGGAGTTGTAGGTTCTGGAATGCATAGTTCACCTGCAATCAATGAACAATCTGAACTCCACCAAAGATGGAATTGGATCAAACTTGGCACACAGAGCCCCCATGACCAGCAAAAAATACTGGAGGTCTTCAGGGGGAAATTCACCTTGGTTTTGAGGGAGTTGTAGTTCACCTACATCCAGAAAACACTGAGAACCAGTTGATCTGGACCAAACTTGGCATACATAGTTGATATGCCAAAATGTGATTACTGCAGGGGTTAGGGTGGAGTTGTAGTTCACCCACAACCAGAGAAACTGTGACCTCCGCTGATGACGGACCTAAACCAAACTTGGCACACAGAACCCCCATGACTAACTCAACCTACGGGAGGGGTTTGGGGGGTCTGGCTCACCATAGTGGGAGTTGTAGTTTACTCTACAGCCAGACAGCACACTGAACCCCACCGATGATGAATCTAGAGCAAACTTCCCCAACACAACAAACTTTAAGTACTGATGCGGTTTTTTGGGGTTAACCTAGCATGATGGGAGTTGTAGTTCACCCACAACCTTATGTATTTTGTACAATTGCAAAACTGGCCTTTTCAAATAATGTGGGCAATGCTGGGTACCCAAGTTGTAGTAATAATAATAATAATAATAATAATAATAATAATAATAATAATAATAATAATAATAATTATAGTCAGAGGCGTGCAATACATTCATCATCATCATTATCATCACTGACTTGTTTCAAAGTGCTGGTTATGACCTACAAATTCCTATCTTATCCTATCCTATAGGTACATGGCATTCATTGACCTTGCAAAGGCATTCAACACAGTGAATCGCAGCGCTCTCTGGACCATCCTCCAAAAAATCGGGTGCCCTAACAAATTTGTGAACATCCTGCGGCTCCTCCATGATGACATGATGGCAACAGTCTTGGACAGCAATGGCTCCCAAAGTGACCCATTTAAGGTGGAATCGGGTGTCAAACAGGGATGTGTTATTGCCCCAACTCTATTCTCCATCTTCATCGCTATGATACTTCACCTTGTTGACGGGAAGCTTCCCACCGGAGTGGAAATCATCTATCGGACAGATGGCAAGCTATTCAACCTCAGCAGACTGAAAGCCAAAACCAAGGTTACAACAACATCTGTTATAGAACTCCAGTATGCTGATGACAACGTCGTCTGTGCGCATTCAGAAGAAGATCTACAAGCCACTCTAAACACCTTCGCAGAAGCATACACGAAGCTCGGCCTGTCACTGAACATCGAGAAAACCAAAGTGCTGTTCCAGCAGTCACCAGCCAACCCCTTTCCAATGCCAGAGATACAGCTTAATGGTGTAACATTAGAAAATGTTGACCATTTCCGCTACCTTGGCAGCCACCTCTCTACCAAAGTCAACATCGACACCGAAATACAACACCGCCTGAGCTCTGAGTGCAGCATTTTCCCAAATGAAGCAGAGAGTGTTTGAGGACCGGGACATCCGTAGGGATACCAAGGTGCTTGTTTATAAAGCTATTGTCCTCCCAACCCTGCTCTATGCCTGTGAGACATGGACTGTCTACAGATGTCACATGCAACTCCTGGAACGATTCCATCAGCGCTGCCTCCGGAAAATCCTGCAAATCTCTTGGGAAGACAAGCGGACAAACGTCAGTGTGCTGGAAGAAGCAAAGACCACCAGCATTGAAGCGATGGCCCTCCTGCCATCAACTCCGCTGGGCCGGCCACGTTGTCCGGATGCCTGACCACCGTCTCCCAAAGCAGTTGCTCTACTCCGAACTTAAGAACGGAAAACGGAATGTTGGAGGACAGGAAAAGAGATTGAAAGATGGGCTCAAAGCCAACCTTAAAAACTCTGGCATAGGCACTGAGAACTGGGAAGCCCTGGCCCTTGAGCGCTCCAGCTGGAGGTCAGCTGTGACCAGCAGTGCTGCAGAATTCGAGGAGGCACGAGTGGAGGGTGAAAGAGAGAAACGTGCCAGGAGGAAGGCGCATCAAGCCAACCCCGACCGGGACCGCCTTCCACCTGGAAACCAATGCCTTCACTGTGGGAGAAGATGCGGGTCAAGAATAGGGCTCCACAGCCACCTAAAAACCCACAAAAATAGTCATCAAGGAAGACCGTCTTACTCGTCCAACGAGGGATCGCCTAAGTAAGTAAGTTATCACTATGCTGCAAACCGCCTCAAGCCACAAAGAGAGACGGGAAAGAAATAATAATAATAATAATAATAATAATAATAATAATAATTGTTATTATATGGGTTGAGCCCAGATGATCTGATCATCATCATTGTCAACACACATTTTGGTGCCTAGATTTTGAGCCCAGTTTCTTTGTATATTAATTATTACTATTATTATTGCTATTATTCTCTCCGATCCTTGTTTCCACAACAAGCCACATTCTTCAATGTCAAACGTTCCCAGGAATCGAAAGTCACGTGAGTTCTTCTAACCTGGATTGCAGGTGTTCCAGCTGGACCTGGAGATTCTCGCCTTGCTCCGTCTGCTCATCCAGCGACCGCTGCAGCTTCCTTGCCTGGTTATGGGCCTCATCGAGCTGCGAAAATGGACAGAAACATAGGTGTCAAAGGGCCATCCAACCCAGTGATGGAGGATAGGGACAATTCATCAACTCTGCCAACTTTCCCCATGCTACACATCCCTCCAAATGCCACTAGCCAGTGTTATTTATTATTTACAGTATTTATATTCGGCACTTCTCACACGGCAGGGGACTCAGGGCGGATCACAATGCACATCTACATGGCAAACATTCAATGCCATAGACACACAACATATATAGACAGAGACACAGAGGCTATTTAACTTTCCAGCTTCACAAGGGTATGCTGTTGAATTCCGGCCACCGGGGGAGCTGTCGCTTCACCATTCACTTGTGACACCGATGGAGTACTTCCTCATTCTTTTGCATGCTGCTGGAGAGTTTTTATGGTGTCATAAATTAGTTAAATTAGACTCAGTGTAGACTCATAATCCAAATCAGATAGACAAGGATCAGATCCTAGGATACAGGACAATGTAATTTCTGTATATATTTCAGATAGACAAGGATCAGATCCTAGGATATAAGACAATGTAAAGACTTTCTGTATATATTTCAGATTTCAATATTAATGTCAAAAATACGTAGTATGATTTTACATAGGATTTGTGTATAAGCGGTACCTAAATTTCCTACTTGACAGATGCAACTGCAAAGGTCGACAGCAAGCTAGACAAATGGTTGGGAGCTTACTCTGGGTTAGAAGGCAGGATCATCAAGTTTGCAGACGACACCAAATTGGGAGGGATAGCCAATACTCCAGAGGACAGGAGCAGGATTCAAAACGATCTTGACAGATTAGAGAGATGGGCCAAAACTAACAAAATGAAGTTCAACAGTGACAAATGCAAGATACTCCACTTGGCAGAAAAAATGAAATGCAAAGATACAGAATGGGGGACGCCTGGCTCGAGAGCAGTACGTGTGAAAAAGATCTTGGAGTCCTCGTGGACAACAAGTTAAACATGAGCCAGGAATGTGATGTGGCGGCAAAAAAAGCCAATGGGATTTTGGCCTGCATCAATAGGAGCAAAGTGTCTAGATCTAAGGAAGTCATGCTCCCCATGCTCTATTCTGCTTTGGTTAGACCACACCTGGAATATTGTGTCCAATTCTGGGCACCACAATTCAAGAGAGATATTGACAAGCTGGAATGTGTCCAGAGGAGGGCGACTAAAATGATAAAAGGTCTGGAGAACAAGCCCTATGAGGAGCGGCTAAAGGAGCTGGGCATGTTTAGCCTGAAGAAGAGAAGGATGAGAGGAGATATGATAGCCATGTATAAATATGTGAGAGGAAGCCACAGGGAGGAGGGAGCAAGCTTGTTTTCTGCTGCCCTGGAGACTAGGATGTGGAACAATGGCTTCAAACTACAAGAAAGGAGATTCCATCTGAACATGAGGAAGAACTTCCTGACTGTGAGAGCCGTTCAGCAGTGGAACTCTCTGCCCCGGAGTGTGGTGGAGGCTCCTTCTTTGGAAGCTTTTAAACAGAGGCTGGATGGCCATCTGTCAGGGCTGCTTTGAATGCAATATTCCTGCTTCTTGGCAGAATGGGGTTGGACTGGATGGCCCATGAAGTCTCTTCCATCTCTATGATTCTATGATTCTAGGTGATGGGAAAGGATGGGGAAGGAGGAGAAGACCCACCTCGTCCTCGGCTTGGGCCAATTCTTTCTTGAGCTCTTCGACACGAAGGCGCAGCTTCTTCACTTCGGCCTCATGCTGCTCCACCCTCCGGTTGGCATGCGCCAGCTCTGCCATCTTCTCCTGGCATTGCTTCTTCAGCTTGGCATGCACGTGCTTCAGGTCGGCCAGTTCCTATAGGAAACAAAGTCCGTCAGAACTTTTTGACAAGGAGTGTGCCATTTTTCATTAGTCCTCATAAGTTGGATCAAATTATTACATTCGTAGTTACGACACAATATCTGACATGCAAGCATGGCTCTTTCTGCCTATATTCCAGGATCTGGCCCCAGATTATCTGCTAATCCCAGATTATCTGGCAGTGTAGACTCATAATCCAAATCAGATAGACAAGGATCATTTCCTAGGATATAGGACAATGTAGATGCAGCCTGGGTCTGGTTTCAACTATCTGCGCCCAACAAAATACGTTCCCATTAGGAATTTTCTAGCTAATCCTGGCAATTTTATGGCTTGTTATCATAGGCCCCATCTCCACTACCATATAACATCCAGATTATATGCTTTGAATTGGATTATAGGGCAGTGCAGACACATATAATCCAGTTCAAAGCAGATAATCTGGGTTAGCATGGAAAAAGTTTATGAAACTGCAAAAACATTGTATTTGCGGGAAGGACATCATCCTGAAGGACCTTTAGCTCTAGTTTCTCAATGACCAACTCACAGTCTCAACCAATTCAACATAGTTTCTGATCACAAAAACAAAGTTTTCGGAGTTGAACAACTCCTTTCAAAGTAAGGACACAATTAAACAGGAAATAATACTTACTTACTTACTTACTTAGGCGATTCCGAGGATGACGGCCCTCCAAGTTTGGTGTCCTGGTGGTGGGTACATAGGTGAATGTGGAGTCCTATTTTTGACCTGCATCTTCTCCTGCAGTGAAGGCATTCCAGTGGAAGGCGGTCCCGGTTAGGGTTGGCTAGATGCAGCTTCCTCTTGGCACGTTTCTCTCTTTCACCCTCCATTCGTGCCTCTTCGAATTCTGCAGCACTGCTGGTCACAGCTGACCTCCAGTTCGAGCGCTCAAGGGCCAGGGCTTCCCAGTTCTCGCTGTCTATGCCACAGTTTTTTAATGTGGCTTTGAGCCCATCTTTGAATCTCTTTTCCTGTCCACAAACATTCTTGAGTTGGGAGTAGAGCAACTGCTTTGGGAGATGGTGATCGGGCATTTGGACAACGTGGCCAGTCCAGTGGAGTTGATGGCGGAGGACCCATCATTTCAATGCTGGTGGTGTTTGCTTCTTCCAGCATGCTGATCTTAGACATCACAAAGTCTAAGATCTGTGTTTGCGATCCCATGACACAGTTGCTGGGGATGAGAGACAGGGCCTTCTCGGCAGTGGCCCCCCGTCTGTGGAACTCTCTCCCCAGGGACATCAGGTTGGCCACCTCCCTCCTGTCCTTTAGAAGAAAGTTGAAAATTTGGCTGTGGGACCAGGTATTTGATTAGTGGACAGCGGCAATTGGAAAGAAGACTTGGATACTGCGACACTGAATTGACTCCAGACTTGGATTTGGTTTTAACTGGCATGACTAATCTATTGTTTTAATGAATTGTTTTTAAAGTTTTAATGTATTTTTTGACTATGTATATGATTGTATGTATATGACTATGTATATGACTATGTTGTAGGTTTTTTCAGGCTATATGGCCATGGTCCAGAGGCATTCTCTCCTGACGTTCCGCCTGCATCTAT